TTGAATCTACTTTCAGAATACTTCAAGGAATTTGGGTGTTCAAATGAAAACACTTGGACGTGACACACAGCAAATACCATGATTGAGCTTGTGCTAACGAAAAGACAAAAGCATATCATGCAGTTGAAAGTGAAGAGAGACTTGGTTTCGACTATAGGTTTGTAAATTTAAATTACATTATAAATTACGATTACATCATATCATCATATAAACGGAGAATCCCATGATTTCTTAGTCGAAATTATTTGAATATTTATGAATTTATCCAGTGATGTATGTGGATGTCACCTAAAGACATTTTCTGTCTTGATGAAACCAATCTTTCCTTTTATTTCATGCCTTAAAATGCTTAGCCTCTAAAGACTGATAATGGCTCAGACCAAGTACTGATGAAATGGATTGAATTGAATGATTATATTAAGTTATGGCAAAGCAGGGCTATCTGCCCTAAAAGGCCTTCGTGAAAAACTTTCTAAGGAAAACCAGCTGGCATAGACGTTACAATGAGAAAAACCACAACCAGCCCATGCAACCAGCCCGTTTTCGAACTCCGGAGCGAACTACCAGTGTTCAGCGACTTTACCGCTCGGTCGTTCCTGGCTTTCTGGAATGGAAGGATGGTTTTCCCCATGTGTAACGTGTTTACGAGCCAGTTTCCTATAGAAAGTCCTCCACGAAAGGCATCCCTCCCTTTAGGCAGATAGCCCTCGAGGCTTTGCCATATCAACACACACACACACACACCACACTGGAATGAAAGGAGATAAATTTATTTAAAATGAATGTCAGAAATACCAAGATGTTTCGAAAACTTTTTAATATACTTGTAGAATGCCTGAAGTAAAAGAGCAAGTCCATTAAGATAGAAGAAAATAAGGAAGAAAAAATTAATTTTTGCATAAAATTTAGTATTTTTTTTTTTAACTTAAAACTTTTTAATTTTATGATATTTGTTTCTTGCGATTTCCAAAAATAAAATATTTGACTAAAATATGAATAACATTTTAAGAAATTATTAAATGTAGGATGATAAAATTGTGTAAAGCAATGGGTGCAATGATAAAGCTATTTAAAAAGCAATGTACGCAAGTCATCCTAAATTCAAAATGTCGAATATACATCTTCTCTTATATATTTCTTCAGAACGGAACATTGAAAAGGCGTGTTAACTGTGCTTCACTGTATTTTCTCTTTTAATATATGGAGTTTTCGATTCATCGTATCGTAGTCTGAGTCACAAAGTAGTCTTCCGAAAGAAACGCGAATTCAAATAAATAAAATCAAATTCTGGAAAATTTATGTTAATGAATATATTTAAAATGCGCAGTTCGAATCAATAAATAGAAAATAGTTTAAAACAATTATCTGAAAAGACAACGCAACACAAAAAATTAAAATAAAAGTCTAAAAATTCAATAATTACCTAAAATAATAACTATGACTAAGAAATATAGTATAACGAAAACTATTTGAAAAATAATAATAAACGATACACCTTATTATGTAAACTACGCAGTTCGAATGAGTAAATAGAAATTTTTAAAACAGTTATTCGAAAGAAACCATACACAACTTCAACAATTACAATGAAATTCGAAAAAGAAAAAATATTAAAATAATAACATAAAAATATAATATAAAGAACATTATTTGAAAGAAAGAACGTTGTGATTTTCTTTCCCCTCACGGAAAAGGAAAATAGGTTGCCATGTTTTAAAAAGTTCGCCAAGTGAACTATTTCTGGAGCAAACTGCAAAAAAAAGCGCCAACATAAATTTGTGAATTTCTCTGTAAATTTCGCACCAAATTTTACAAAATCTCATATTTAGGCATACTTTGAGTCGTAGAATCGAAATATGGAAAAAAAATTGATATTTTATTTCAGAAATGTCCGATTTTGTGTCAAAATAACTATCTTAGAATAGATCTATATATAAATCTAATATATATCCTAAGTCGCGCTTTCGAGACATGAAGAACGCAATTTGAATTTCATCAATCGGCCCAGTTGAACGGGAGATATAGAACTGTCCCTCTTTTTTTTTTTTTTTTTTTTTTTTTTTTTTTTTTTTTTTTTTTTTTTGTCCCCGTGCTGTACATTGAAAAAACTCAGTCCAATAAAGGCAATGATCCTAATTCCACTTGAAAAACCATAAATCATGATAATTACTTGAATTTATAAATGCAAATAAATTATTAAAATTATTATAGTAAGAGCCGAAAGAGCAGTGTATTTACGACGTCGTAGGCTTTATCTCTCCACTCTTTGCAATTATGGAAGTAATTCGTAAAATCATCAAACTCCGCACCACCACCATCAGACGTACCTGAACAAGGGAAACGGGTGTGAGTTTTGCTTTAAAACTCAGAGGCGTGTCTTGGGGAAGGAAGTGGAGCAATCGAATAAATTTGAAAACCTAGAAAAAGATGATAATATATATGGAAGGTGAAGAAGTGGAAATTGTTCCAGACAAACGCAAAACTATAACGAACGTCCCACCCATTGTGTTACACGATTTCACTGGCGACTGGGAAGCCATGAAACTTGAATTAGAAAATAATAACATCTCTAACTATCGAGGAGAGATTAAAGGCGGTTCTCTCACCATAAGAGCATATGATAGCGATCATCATCACTAGTTACTTAGCGAAATGTGAAATTCAATTTCATACTTTCAAATTAAACTCTGTAAAGCCAATGAAGGCTGTTATTAAAAAACTGCCTAATAATACCAATCCTGACCTCATTCTAAAAGAACTTCAGAAAAGAATAAAAAATAAAATATAAGCAATAAAAGTTAGACAACTTCAATCCTTCACGGACGGAAAAATTGCTAATATTCCTATTTTCGTAGTTGATCTCAAACGATACCCAGAAAGAAAAGAAATATATAATATTGAGACACTCCGAGGTCTTCACGTCTTAATTGCTACTTACAGAGCGAAAAAAGAACCAATGCAATGTCATAAATATCAAAGGTATGAACGCTCTAGGGAAGTGTGCCATTACAAACCCAGATGTCTTAAATGCGGTCAATTTCACGAAACATACACTTGCAAACAGAAAAAAGAACATGGTAAAGCAGCAATTTGTGACCTTTGCAGCAAATTTCATGTATCTTCTTACAAAGGTTATAAGAAACATCCAAACAATATCAAAAAGGCCATTGAAGCTGCCAAAGAAAAAATGTGAAGAAAATAATCCGAAGAATACTCGTCGTAACTTCAATCTCAATCAAGAACATTTTCCTGCTCTTAATAACGACCATCCGGAAACCCAAGAAACTCCTACATGGAAGAAAAAGACTACAAATCTCTCATTTTTTGAATGGATGAAAAACCATGCGAAAAAAGCTAAAGAACTCCTCACCAAATTTAAGCAAGCGAAAACGATGCTAGAGAAGTTAGAAGTAGGCATAGCTGCTTTAATTACATTTCCAGTATTTATTTGGAATTTTAAATCGTGCGAACTGCATAACTAGGGAAACTAAATAAGTTACTATTGTATTTAATGTAAATTGCTTGTATATAGATTATTTAAGTGACTTCAAGCTCATTCTCCACGTCTTATCCAGGAAAAATTTTCTTTCTTCAATGATAATTATTTATCAACTTTGGAATGAAATTTCATTTATTGGTTTTCTCGCCGCGTGCGCGACGCATGTTATCATGTGTCTTTGATTTTCAAAAACCAAGCAAGAGTTCGAACCTTAACAAACTGTGTAAAAACTCTCGTAGTTAAGACCGGCAAGTAACGTAAAGATCCAGATCCACATCCTTGGGGAAGGAAAAGGCACATCATCACCTCGCAGCTCCTGCCGAATAGTATTGCTGTATGTTTCTTTAATTCTTCCTACTGAGGCCAGATAATTATACAAGGTGAATCTGAATAAGAGGGGGAAAATTTAGACGATGATAGAAAACTGCTCTACGAACAATATCCGTCATAGAATATATGATCGCAACGCAGGCGGTGAGAAGTGAAAGGGTAGTTTTCCACCGCCACATTTAAAGAACTAACACAAGAATGAAAGGAGATACTGCAGGAAACATTTTATTATCAGAATATGCCCATAAAAATTGCTTAAATGACCTTCCGACAGCTGTAATGCAGGCTTTACACCTGCGGGATAGGGATTGACGCACATTTACGAAGACATCAAGCATTTAGCAAATATCGCTGGCAACAACGGCGATCCTGGCAACTAGATTCATACTGGTTTAACGGGGACTCGTAGATTAGGCTTTTCATATGGCTCTACTGAAAGAAGTCCACACACGAGAGATCCTGTGATCTTGGTGGCCAAGCTATGGGACCACCTCGACCAATTCATTACCCTGGAAATTTCGTGGTTCGTATAACCAACATTCCTCTCGGCAATCCACGGTAGAAAATGCCGTTATTTGTGAGGGCCGACCCTTTCCATACCATTTACTTACAATGCCAACTAGAGGTTCGCCGTTTGCATTCGGACCATACATTCCATGACGAATAGTGTTCGTATATCTGCCTTCTATCACACCGTAAAGTTTTGCCCTCTTGTTCAAATACACCTGGTATTTATCACGCATTTAGAATGAATTATCACACGTCATTAGGTATGTCACTTTAAATTATCAATGCTTCCGACATTCGAACTGTACACCTCCTCCCAAGTTCGTTTCCTTGCTTTTTTTTTAAATTAATTTAATAAAAGCCACTTGCTCTGCAATAACATGAGAAAGGAAATTGAAACCGTCATAAAATTATAACTATCATTTAGAAAATGAATACCATTGTAGGTTCACAAGGACGTGCAGTGCATTCGCCGAGACTCGAACCCTGGACGTCTCGAACACGCTAAATACGAATCTAGTGTGCTTCCAGTTACACCAGAAATGCATGCCGAAAGGAGGGAGAAAATACCTTATATCATAATGATGATTTTTATTAAGCAAAATGTAAAAGATACTTTTTGCCTTTCTCACGTCATTTGTTAATTTTAATCTCAACATCACAGGTCAGCATTATGATAGCCGAGGTAACGGCGTCCAATGGTGGAGGCCCGGTGTTAGAGACGATTTTGCAAAAAAAGAAAATTGTTTCGATGAGCAGTATCGTGAATACCTTCAAAATGGCTATGGAACAAATGTAGTGGTAAGATCTCATTTAAAGTGTTGTTCCTCGCCTTAAAATGATTTTTTAAAATGATTTAATTAAAGTAGCAATTTAATCGGTATATCTTGTAAACGAACTATATTCTTGTAAACGAACTGTTTTCAAAATATATTTTGATATATCTTGTAAGCGAACTGTTTTCAAAATATATCTTGATATATCTTGTAAACGAACTGTTTTCAAAATATATCTTGATATATCTTGTAAACGAACTGTTTTCAAAAGAAATGCTGTACGTAAAATGTTATACGACTTTGGAAAATTGTACGGCATTACGCATGCTTTATTTGGAGAAATTTCCGCGGATAACCTAATTGCTTAAATGAAATTCGCATTCTTTAATTGCTGTTCTTGTCCCTCACAAAAAAAGAGCTAAATAAAATGTTTTTGTATTCACCACTCTTTAAATAGCACTTACTTGACAAATGCTTCAAAAGCAAATGAAACTGCAGATGCAGTAGACCCCCCCCCCTGTATAAATACTTCTGTGTCAAAGTATCAAAGTAAACTTTTTCTAATTTTAATTCAAGTTTTTTATGTTACTATTTCATTTTTTAAGTATTTTGTATGAATTTTTACTTTATCGTATGATTCTACGAACTTTTGACCCTTTTACGGCGTATCTAGCTATTGCATACTTCTGAAGGACTTTGAACTCTTATGCCATTCACAGCTTCAAACTGTTTTCGCGCCATTCTCATGATGTCTCACTACTGCTTATCCTGCATTCTTTACTAGCTACATTGCCTCACCATCTGCATTTGCCATATACGAGTAACTCACTGCACCTGCCTGCATGCTTCAATTTAATGCCGTTGCTTATCACTGCATATTTTTTATGATGAACGCCTACTTTCGTAAGTATTAAGATATGCCTGGTCACGCAGCAGAATTTTCTTCCCCCTCAGGTGTTGGTACTTCCCTAGTACCATTTATTTGGAAATATCTTTGCCTAGTGCACTTTAATGCGATCTACTGGCGAAAACTCTTTAGTAGTCAGTCAAGTCTGTAAAGAAAAAGTCAGTCAAAGTAGTAAAAAGTAAGTCAATCAAGTCTTTCCTGACCTATTCTATCTCCTAGGTTCTTTTAAATCTACACTTAAATATTTTCAGTACGTTTTCGAGTTCAGACGTGTCTTAGATATAGATATATAATAAACTTATATAGAATAATAAACTTATATAAGATATAACTCTTAGATATAGATATAATAAATATAGATATATAATAAACATGTATAGATAATAATTAATATATAGTATGTATATAGATTAATTTTGTAAATAGCTTGTCAAGTATTATACTTATCGGAAGTTTCTAAATTTTGTCTTGTGCTTGCACTTCAACTTTCGCGTTACTCCCTTTTAGCTTATAGCCCACCAGCGGCCGAGCGGTAAAGACGCTGAACACTGGTAGTTCGGTCTGAAGTTCGAATCCCGCGAACGGGCTGGCTGCATGGGCGTTTTCGTGGTTTTCCCCATGTGTAACGTGTATACGAGCCAGTTTCCCTTAGAAAGTCCTCCACGAAGGCATCCCTCCCTTTAGGCAGATAGCCCTCGTGTGCTTTGCCATAATTAAATAATCCAATCCAATCCAATCCCTTTTAGCTTACAGAAATTGTCAGACTCGCCGCGGCACTCCTCTCCATTGTTCGCCCTCACTTGTTGTAGTTCGGCTCCAGAAGCCATGATGATGCACGGTCACCCCCTTCTCTTTACCTTAGACCTTTCAACCATCCGTCTTATGTCATCGGCTTATAATGGCAACTTCTCACAGAGCCGGATACATCGCGCTTTGCGCGAATATCCCGGCCCGGTATTCGGTACCGACTAGAATAGACGGTGCTCCGTTTATTGCACTGTGATTTAGAGCCATTGGCCAAGAAGCCTCAATCGCTTTGCTATCCGCTTTTTGCTTTAGTGTTGAACTATCTATAATAAATTTTCAAAAATACCAAAAAATACAAAAAATCCCCTTCTCTTTACCTTAGACCTTTCAACCATCCGTCTTATGTCATCGGCTTATAATGGCAACTTCTCACCGAGCCGGATACATCGCGCTTTGCGCAATATCCCGGCGATATTGGTACCGACTAGAATAGACGGTGCTCTGTTTATTGCACTGTGATTTAGAGCCATTGGCCAAGAAGCCTCAATCGCTTTGCTATCCGCTTTTTGCTTTAGTGTTGAACTATCTATAATAAATTTTCAAAAATACCAAAAAATACAAAAAAAAATTTTAAAAAATATTAAGACCTAAAAAGTCAAAACTTCTGATTTTAATGATTTTTCCTATACCTAATCTTTCTGGAGCCACGTGGCTCCTTCTAGCTTTTTCCTTTTAAAATATTTTTACGTAATTTTTCGATTTCTGCCATCTAGTACATTCTGATGTGAAGGTAAATGGTTTTGAACCAGGTACTCCGTAAAGCATAATCCTTGGTCATTAGTAAGTACTCCGTAATACATAATCATTGGATCTTGGTCGGCCGCGATTGACTTTTGTGCACTTAATAGCTATTTTGTATGTGCCGCTGCTTAAAGTTGAAATTATCTATTGTTATTTTGAATTTATCTGTTGTATCTTTCGCAGCCACATTCAACTTTTGTACCACCACCACAATATATAACTGCAACTGCTGGTCTCAAAGCGGCTTATCTGGTAAGAAAATTATTTGAGTTTTTTGAGATTGTAAATTTGCTATTTAACTTTCAATTACAATACAGAAGGAAACAAAATTGAATGCATGGTAAAAGGATGAGATTTATAAGATTTGCATATTTTACCAGTAAAAGCCCGGTGCTACTTTAGTAGACGGTTGCACGGATTTTGGCGATTTTTTGGCGATATTTCTTTTGGTGATATTTCTTTTGGCGAATAATACGACTTATGGTAAACCCACTGCTGGATAAGTTATTTATGACAACCGATACTTTGTTGCCATTTTATTTAAAAAATAATGCGTTTTATTATGCATAAATTCCGTATTTTAAATATTATTTATAGCTTCTAAATATTAAAAATCAATTTAATTTTGCCTTTTTATTTGAAATAAAAGTTTTATTGTTTATGATATTTTATGCAATTTTATGTCGTTGATGATGTAATCAATGAAGTCACCTAACTTTAAAAGTAATTAGTTTTAATATCTATAAATTTAATCTAATGTTTAAACATTATTTATGGCTGTTAAATATTAAAATACAATTTAATTTTGCATTTTTTTAAAATGATTTTATTATGTATGATTATTTAAATAATTTTAATTCTAGGCGTGATGTAATCAGCTCTCTGATTGGTTATAGAATATTTTGTGCATTAACGAGCTGTAATCAGCTCCCTGATTGGTTACTGAAAATTTGTGCATTACCGCGCCATTTTAAAATTTAATTCATATCTTTGAATTCCTTCAAAGATGAATGTTGTTATTGGTGAGTACCAAGAATTATTGGTATCGGAATCAAAAAGTTGTCCTTTGTACTTCAGCGAGTTGCGGTTAAAGGATCTTTGAACTCTTAAAAACAATACTTATTATTGTAGGTTTTTTTTTTTTTTTTTTTTTTTTTTTTTTTCAAATTTTCTTGTTATTTTTAATTGTCATGATCCATTAATTTGGCTCTAAATTGCTTTATCTATTTATAAATTTTTTGCTTTTTTTAAATTTTTTTTATTCTTGCCCTTGATATTACATTTTTCAAATTTTTTCATTGCTATCTAAATTATGATTCCAATTTTTTTGTGGTACTTATCAATAAACGACAGGTTAAATGACTCAAAAAAATGCAAGTACATATTTTTCTGTTATTTTATAATTGTAATACTTCAGTTTTTGTTAAAAAAATTAATGCACTATTTTCGAAAATTGCTGAGATAATTATTGTCACATATGTTTTAATGTTAATTATATTCCATATAGCGCATTTTAAAGTATTTGAATTTAATAATATTCTAGTTCTTTTAAATGTTGGTATGATGGTTTTTAATTCGATATTCAATTTCAGTAATATTTTAATCTAATTAAACGTTGGCCCAATGTTTAAAAAAAGCGGTTTTTGTATTCTCTTCTTTGCTTATATAAAGTAATAATACCTTACTTTATTATTTTATACTCATAGTAAATGTATGTATTAACACTTGCCTGCCATCTTAAAAAACGACATTATCAACAAAAAATTAATCCATTACTTTTAACGATATTTTTTTTTTTTTTTTTTAAAGTTTCGAATACTTTATTATGCGTAAAAACAGCGTTTTTCAAGATGGCTGACGATTGTAAAAATCGCGCCAACATAAATCGCCAAAAATCCGTTCAACCGTCTACCAAAGTAGTACCAAAAACCCAAAATTAGTGTCTTAGATATAACCACTAAATGATAGCATTTATGGCTAAAATTCCATAAGCGGGGTAAGTTGGCGCCACACTCTTATTTTGGCCTTCAAAATTTGGCGAATTTTTTAGGCGGCAATGAAAGCACCAAAATGGGATTTTTAAACGTAAACAGAATAGTAACTTTTAAGTTTTGCAGTAGTGAAACGCCGTTATTTTATATAAACAGAATAGTAAAATGAGATGATAAATTACTAGATGAGTAAAACAAAGTCCAACAGTTTTGCAAGTAAAAACATAGTCCTATATACAGTGTCTCAAAAAAGTGATGGGACACTTGTGCTTTACAAAAGGAAACTGCAATAAAATAAATTTTAAAAACATGTAAAATTTTTTGTGGGTGTGTTTCATACTTAAATTTAGTAACAATTATCACATAACATACATTTTCTCAAAATATTAAAATATTAATTTAATAAAAATACAATTGTTTAGAACGGAGCAGAAAATGGCTCACTTAAGTGATGGGACACTACGTACTAGGCAACAAAAATCATCTGAAGTAAGCAATAAAAATATCTTTTGGGGTATTTATTTTTACTCAAAAGCAATTGCCAATAATTTATAAAATCGTCTGCAGTATTTCTCTCCAGTTTGATTTGGAATTTTTGTGTTTTTTAGCTCTGTGCAGTCATGAATGCTAAACGAAAAGAATGCCTGGAATTCGAAAATTAGTTATTAATTTGCATATTGAACGTGGAAAATCTACTAGAGAAACTACTGAAACAGTTAACTTCAGTCATTCAACAGTTTTCAATATCATTAAACGATATAAAAAGAATCATATGATTCAGGATAAAGAAGACCTGGCCGACCATCAAAGCTATCCAATGGAATAAAGCGAATTATCGTTCGAAATATATTAAAAAAAAACTCCAAGAATGGGGTGCTCCTAAAGTTGCTGCTGATTTACAAGCATTATATGGAGTAATTGTTAATTCTGAGACTACTTAGAAGAGTAATTCGATCTACTGGATATCACGGTAGAGCAGCCAGGAAAAAATTCATCGTAAGTGAAAAGAATAGAAAACTCAGACTGGCTTTCGCAAAATCCAACATAAATAAGAATTCTGATTACTGGAATGAAGTTACTATATTTGCTGATGAGAGTAAATTTAATATATTTGGTTCTGACGGTAGAATCTTAGTGTGGAGAAAACCCAGGGAAGAATTTCGCAAACAGAACTTGGTGCCAACATGATGGAGGAGGAGTTATGGTATGGGGGTGTATGTCGTCCGCTGGAGTTGGTAATCTTGTTTTTATTGACAGTATAATGGATCAGTACAAGTATATTGACATTTTAAATCAAAATTTGAAATCTTCAGCACGAAAATTGAACTTTCATAACAATTTTAAATTCTACTAGGACAATGACTCTAAGCACAGTGCTTTGAACGTTAGACTCTGGCTGCTGTATAACTGTCCTGAAATAATAAAAACACCCCCACAATCTCCACAATTAAATCCCATAGAGAATATTTGGCAAGAATTGAAATCAAGAATTCGCAAACACACCATTTCTTCAAAACAATTAAAATCGGTGTTTCAAGAAAAATGGGGTAAAATCACTCCAGAAATCACAAAAAAATTAGTCGAATCCATCCCAAGAAGATTAAATCATGTTTTAAAAGTAAAAGGAAATCCAACAAAATATTAAATCTTTTAAAAAGTAAAATTTTTGGATAAATATTTGATGGAAAAGTAAGTGTCCTATCACTTAAGTGAGCCATTTTCTGCTCCGTTCTAAACAATTGTATTTTTATTAAATTAATATTTTAATATTTTGAGAAATGTATGTTATGTAATAATTGTTACTAAATTTAAGTATGAAACACACCCACAAAAAATTTTACATGTTTTTTAAATTTATTTTATTGCAGTTTCCTTTTGTAAAGCACAAGTGTCCCATCACTTTTTTGAGACACTGTATGTAATTCATCATAAAATAGTAGAATGAACAGTTCTTGTAAATAATTATTGAGTAAATAAATATATACACTTATCAGATCAGAAGTGAGTTTTAAACGTAAACAGAATAGCAAATTATTCGTATTCAGCGTCATAAACTAACAAAAATATTCAAGTTACTATCGTCGTGGAATTCAACATACTAAACAACTTTCGTTCAAAGCTTTAAATATTCCACATCTTTCGATTGCCACATGCAAGAAACAAAACTAAAAAAAAATAACTAAATAAAATTAAATGAAAACATTCATAAATTATAAACTTCACGTTATAAAAAATCCAACATTCTCTCACCAACAACAGCTTAACCTTCTGCAAATATTTATAAATATAATATTAAACATATATGTAACAATAATATTAAACAGTAAAACTTTTAAAAAGAAACACAGTATTTCAAAATTAAATTTTTAAAAAAATCTTCTGGCTACAAAATTTGCGCTTTTACGAAATAAAACTCTAGGTTTGCCATAAGTAAACATACAGACGGAAACCACAACCAAATCAAAATCGCGCCAAATAAAAACACTCTCGCCAAGCTTGGCGCTCACCCCGATTATCGAATTTTAACCAAAGAATCTCTAAGATATTCTTTGTTTTAACCGCATTTATAATAGTGGGATGACAAAAATTCAAACAATGCTTATAAACGCTTCCTTTCCGGCTCTTGCAAAAGTTTTCAGTAAAAGCCAGGAGGTAAATAACTATTACAATACCTTGAAGCTACAGGTTAAATGTCTGTAAGAATATTATTTAAATTCACATGTTCAGAAAACAATAAAAACTGGCGGGCAAGCCCGCCAGAGCAAAATTTATAAGTTCTATGTACACTGAAAAGAAAATGTATAAAAGACTACAATATAAATGAAATAATTTCATTCTTTCCAAGCAACAACCAGTTCGTAAATAATATTTTGTTGCCAAACCAGGAAACAAAAACTTTTGAAACTTAAGGTTAATACGTATACGTATGGCGTCATGATTTAAATTTAATTTAATATAACAACTTTTTCTCAATATCAATAAAAGAATAAACGTGGCAATAACATATCGTGTCAATTATCCTAACCTGAAACAAAAAAGTTGCCAATAGCAGAGCTATTTATTTAAAATGTTGATATTAAGGAGAAACTTTTGACTTACAATAGTGTCACATGCAATCGCGTGCTTTTTTCAGCATCAGAATATGACCTTATATAAGAATAATATGTTTAATGTTTGGTAAAACTGTATTTAGTCCAAATGGGAAATTTGTCCAGAAGGGCTATTAATTTCGTTTTGGCATTTTGCGTCGATTCACGATAA